CAGGATTGTGCCACCAGGGAGGGCCCTCCTGCTCTAATTTTTAGGGCTAGGATTTTTATCTCCTTTGCTCAGTGCTTTACTGCCAGCACATACTAGGTATTGATAAGTAATTAAATATTTTTTTAATGAATGATGGAGGTAACAAAGCAAGTAGTATTATGCAGTGGAAAAATCACCAATCCTAGGAGTGTGGTTTCTTACTGACTTGATAAAGCTATAAAGTGTGACATAGAAGGAGTCATTTTAATCTCTCCTCCCTCAGTTTCTCCATTAACCAGAAAAGAAACATTATTCCTAAAGATTGGTATAGAGATCAAAAAGATCTTTTAACCATTTTCATCGAGCACCTACAATGCCTTTTTCAAATGAGGTTGCAGATGTGAAAGTGTTCATGAAGGTGTTAAGAAAGTAAAGCAATATATTGGAGGATTTATGGCAGAGGACTGGAGTGTGCTGTGAGAGTGTGTAGAAAAATAAATACAGATTCTGAACAAAAGCCTGGTCACAAATCAAAGCCGATTTCAAGTCTTAAATGACACAGCAGACATGTTAGGAGTGTGAGCTGGTGGCATCCTGACCTGGCTTTAACTCCTGACTCTCCCAGCAGGAGCTATCTTTTTTTTTTAAAGATTTATTTATTTATTCATACAGAACTGGGGTACAGGCCAGAGATGCGGAGGGTGAGAGGCTTCACCAGAGACAGAGTGGGGAGCAGAACAGGCAGATCGACGAAGTACACTGCTGAGGGGAGCAGCGGGCGGGTCAGGAGGGGTCTGCTGCGCCATGTGATCACCTCCGGGGCAGGCGGGGATCGAACTCATGCGGAAGTGGCTTAAGCTTCTTAGTGCTGTGCTTTAACCCGCTGCGCCACCAGGGAGGGCCAGAGCTATCTTAAGCAAAATTCTTACCATTTCTAAACCCTCAATGTTCTCTACTTTTATTAGAAAGCTAAAAATAGCATGTGTCTCATAGAGCTGTGAAAGAGTTAAATAAATGAAGACATATAAAGCTCTTAAGAGAATTCAACAGGGACTAAACATTCAAATTTGGGGCTTAATTTCTGCTGAACTGATTACAGCTTGATGCAATACAGTTCCAGACAAAAGGAGAGAACATACACTGAGCATCCGCAACATTTCATGAAAAGAGCTAGGCACTTGCACTCAATTCTCATAAACACCAAGATGCTTTAGTCCAATCAATGGGAATGCCAGGACCAAACAAGTGATTGCTTCTGATTCCAAGGACCTCACTCCTTCCAAGGGTTGGGAAGGGAGTTGGGATGCAGCAGCCAGCAGTTGCAAGACAGTTCTAAAAGTCCCCCATCATCATTACAACTGTATTCTGACTTTTCAGTATTATATCCACCTAGGAGAGTGGTGTTCTTCCAATGCCTTTCCTGTCCCGCCAGCAAATACAAGTTAAAAAAAATTCATTAAAATCCCTTGGCTATGCCCAAATACTAGCCAACAATTAATACACTGCTCTAGCACCACTCCTGCAGATAGAGGAAGGAATGTTCTGGTAGCCACACACAGGGCCACCCACAGAGTTGGGGCACCTCCTTGAGGCTTGAGAGACACACCAAGCCAGGGAAAACATCCTTGCTTGGCTTTCAATCTCATCAGGGCTTGGTAGCCACAGAAGCCTAGCAAGTGACTTGTATCTGTTGCTCCTAGTGCTCTCCAACTTGGTTGAGAACCAGAATAAGAATTCTGATGAAAGCATCACAAGATACTGTGCAAACCTGATGGATCCCAGCCAAGAGAACAACATAATATAAATCTGTTCTTTTTTCCTGTCAGCAATTCAGAATTATGGCTTCTCTATATGCCACCCCAGCCACACAGCATAACTCACATCTAACTATAGCAGCAATTCCAGGAATACACCAGATCCGTAAGTGCTGCTTCATTTACAATAAACTTGTAGGGATGATCAAACAATCAATGACAGCTCGATAGAACAGAGTTTTCTCCACACAACCCACTGAGTTCACTTTCCCCGGGAGACGGCTTCTGATCAAAGTAAACACAGTACTTCGCTTAATTAAAGCCAATAAGTGCTTTCTTTAAAGCCATATTGTATCAAGATGCTATTTCTTTCCCCTTCTTTTTCTTCTCTTACCATTGATTCATATCTACAGCATTACTAAAGAACACAGAATAAAGTCAAAAACATAGTGGCAGAAATGGACACTCCTTGCATGGGGAACATGAAGAACACATTTGTCTTAACATTATGTACTTTTTAATCATCCATTCTTTGTAAAGACATTTGTACCATCACAACAAAACCTTGCATCTATTCTGTATCTTATAATTTAGAAGGGGGCTTTCAAGTGTATAACCACATTTGATTTTCACAGCCTCTTTCACAGATGAGACAACTCAGCTTCAGACATTCCCACAATCAAGGGACCAGTGAGTACTGACAAAAGGCCCAAATACATTTCCTCCCTCTCTAGCTTCACTGCCCTTTCAGTTTG